GAAGTGGATAATGGAGAATTTTCAAACTAATAGTGTTAAAGTTATCATGTTTTTGCCCCTTTTTCATTTAACACTGATTGAATGGAGCAAGAAACCTCGTTTATAATCACCCACTTGTCACCCTACTGTAACTTCCCTTCCCTCACTCCGATTCTTGCGGAACAAAAATCAAATGGAGATGGGATAATGGGATAATGGGTTAATGGTTAATTATTTAATTAAATATTAACAGATATAAAAACAAAATAATTTAATTTTTAATTATGACACTTTAAAATGATTATTGAAAATAAATTTTATTTGTTCTTCTAGAAAGTGTTTTTAATTTATTTTAGTCAATTGCAGCGCCTCAATTAATTGATTGCAATGTTTAAAGAATAAGAGGTCCTTGGAATATTTAAAAGGCAAGCTTAAGGTTTTGGGATCAACCGAAATTCAATCAAGAATTTTTTATATACATAAAAATGAATAATTTGAAATTGTATAAAATATGTTGACGATATAAATATATTTTAACATATGTTACACTTAAAGTTATTCAGAATACCTGGCTTCAAAATTGAATTTATATATCTTTTGAAATTATCTGCACAGCATTAAGATTAGAATCAAATGTAATGATTGCAATTAATCTTATTCTAATATAAAACAAATAAGATTATTATTTTGCTAACTTGTGTCCACGATATTGTGGTGTAAACGCAGCATTCAATTATTAGATTCCATCAAAAGCGAAACTCTAGCTTGATTAAGATGTAAAATACCATCCATTTCTTAGTTTAATTTTGGCCTTGCCCTATCACTTGTAACATATCATTGTCAAATTAAAGTAAAGTATCTTGGCCCTTTGCCAATAATAAAAATCAGTTAAGCATATATTAAAAACCTTATACAGTACGTAATACATGCTTCCATTGCACAAATCTTTTGCATGACTTGACTTCCATAAACCTTAACAGACTGAATCATCGTCAAAATATATGATTAATTGTTGAATGTTAGCACTGTTCAAGTGGTGGCTGTACATGGCCCATGCCCAATAATTAATTAAGGAACAAAACTATATTCACATATTATTAACAATTAATGTATTTGGCAAAAGAGTTCTTCAGTTTCATCATATCAAATTCTACATAAAAAAATATATTAAGTCTTTTTTCTTTTACTTTTTTACATAAAAAAAGTTAGAAACTTAAAATAAAAAATAATATTATACTAATAATTATTTATAGAAAATTATATTTTAAACTACACACACCCTAACTTCGGCACCTAAGACACCGACAAAGAAACATTTCCCCTATATCTCCCCAAAGCACATATAATCTTGATGTGATGTTAGTGATTTGGTAGCGAGTATGTCTAGATCTTGCAATATTTACTTTTTCTTAGTCTGAAATTTTGACATTTAAAATAAACAAAGTCATGTGAAAAAAGAAAGAAAGAAACTAACACTTTGATAGGGTAAAAGAAAACATTAAAATTTAATTTAAAAATTTAAAAATATTCTTCCTCTTCAATCAAATAAAAATAGTTTTATTTAAACATATCTTAAAAGTACGATGGTTTTACCCTCATAAATAAAATTTTCAAAACGACAATTGTTTTATTCTGTCTGTCGTATTTTGTAATTTGTGTTAGAAAATTCTCAACCATTAATAATCGATAAGGATCTTTATATATTGATATAATATTTTTGCCTCTCCTTTGTATTTTTTGATCTATTTGTTTTTATCACATCAAATTATCTATAATATATTTTATGTATTTTTTTTATTATTAACTATCACAGTGAATTTGTCTGAATAAAAAAAAAACACGAACATTTGTAGTTATTTTGTTTTGGCATATTAAAACAAGTCCAAATGCAACAACGAATATGAAAATCTCTAGGAGTTCCTTTTTTTACCATTATTTTATTTAGATAAGAGATTAAGCTAAATATTTTTTCTTTAACTTTACTCTTTTAATCCTTGATTATTTTCTTCAAACATTACTATGTAAGGATATGAATCTCAATTATTGATATATTTAAAAAAAATGTATGATGAAAAGAGAATAGACCGGTGGAAGATGAAACTGCACCCTCTATTTTTATTTTTATTTCAAGTGTGGGAGATCCGTATCCAAAAAGATTCAGAGATAAACAAATTAAATTATCTTTAACAGAAATTGACTTGATTAATTAAGAATTCTTAAACACTATTAGTATTATATATAATTTTTGTCATATCAATGGTGTATATTGGGGGTGTCATGATTGAGATGGATGAGCTGGTGCATAAATTGTTGCCATTAGCTGTTCACTTTTTCTGCAAAAAGAGTTGTGAAGTTAAATAAAAAAATCATTTCCAATCTTAGAATATGAGCCAAATATACCATTGTCTATGGAAAGGATGCATGGTGTAAATAATCCAAATATTGATCATGAGTCACAACACTAATGAGGGGCGATGCACATTAAGTAACTTGTCTCTTTCATTGGTAACCACTTTTTTGGATGTAATGCAAGTTTATGTTTTAGTTGTTTTGAAAGAAAGAAAAACAAAAACAATAATGGTGTATTTTTATTTGTTTAGTTTGAATTTAAAGTTAACTTTCAAAAATAAAAATTTCATTTTTTTTCTCTTATTTTTCTTTCATCTAGCCAAACAAGGTATTAGAGAAATTCAACAAGAATTGGGGCAAGAAAAGCATGGCACTGATTTTCAAAGTCTTACTGAACATTAACTTTTGTAAAACTTGAACCTTAATCAATAATTCATCGCAGCTATGTCTGACTAAATACATCAAACCGATGACTAACTTGTTTCGATATTACGCAAAAGTGAAAGTGAAATAGTTATTCGAAATCTTTTACAATCCTTTTTGTTTTATTGTCTCTCACCACAGGTCGATGACTAGTCCTTTGTAAGCCATACAAGACATTAAAATAGGCTTCCTCTCTTTTAATCAAAGTTATAATATCTCTTCCATGATCAACAACATTAAAATCTCACATTTTATCAAAATAAATTTCTGATATTGATTAACAATAATAGTTTGAATTTTTAAAAATTACATCTAAACTGAGTCCATTATTATACTCATAACGTTTAGTTAAATTATCATTTATTACTTATCGAGGTTTTTTTTATGAACGAACGTGTAGATATTGAGATATTCTCTTCATACAATTTTAAAATTATTTATTATTTTTTATATTTATTTCCCTTGCATATTGATTTTCATTTTTTTTTACTTTTCAGCCATTAATACGATAATAGAGTTTGACTTTAAGTAAAAATAAGATTAGAATATTGCAATTATGTTTTAAAGTTCAATAGATTATCCAGCATTAACAGTTTTTTTCTTAATCCGTATGATGTAATCGAGAGAATCTTATAAATAAAATTGAATGAAGTAGGACTTATTTAAGTACTCCCTCCTGTTTTTTTTTATATATAATAAATAACAATGGGTATTTTTTAATTTTAATTATAAAAAATATAAACTAATTTTTAAACATATTGATTGTAAAAAAATAATATCTGTGAAGTTTAAGTTAACAAAGCACTTGCCCATTTACTATATAGCTACTAATTCAGCCATTTATGATGGAAGGTAAATGACTAGAAAAATAAAAAAATGAAATAAATTCATTCAAAGGAATAGGAATAGACATTCAAATGGACAGAAAAAATAATGCATTTTTTTAATGAGCGAAAAATGGAATGCAGTATATACCAACACAATAATGAGACGTTTCTAGTAAAATATTTGATATAAGTGATAATAAACAAAAAACATTTTATAATATGATACCGTGATTTTTAAAAAAAACAAGATAAGCTAAAAAAATACTAAATGCCAATGAATTAACCAGACATATAAGATAAGCTAGTGAAAATTAATCTTGATCAACTTTATATATAATTTATGTAATTAAGCTAAACTATTTTCATGACATGCATTCTCGTTTAACAGGCTTACGAATTTAAACAATTAATTAATATTGTTTTTATCTGGGTTTTAAAAATATGAGTTTAGCTTAATCTAAAAATGAGAATGAACAGATAAATCACAGATTAATTAAGGTTGTGTACGTGGCATGGTTAGGATAGCACTATTTTTGTGGTGGCGTGTGCGTGGGAAACATGTGATAAATTCTTTGAAATTAGGAAACATTTGGTATTCTTAATATAATACATTTGCTTTATACTCGGTTTAACATTTCCATTCGCTGACTTATTCTTATTCATACACGAACTGAGCGCGGCATCATCTATTTGTGGAGTTTAATTAATATTATTCCAAATATTTATAATGTGGATTATTAAATCTTTTCAAGATCATGGTCAACCATCAATTTAATCAATTCCTTTTAACAGAGCAATACGTTAAATCAGAGTAAAGATTTTGAAAAGGCTTATAATTAGAAAGGTAGAAGGGTCAAATCACGCAAGCTTCATCCAGTGTTTTAACATGTTTGAAACCACCTTTACACATGTTTTTAAATTACATTAACATTACCATTAAAATAAACGTGAATTTCACTCCCCAACAAAGTTTATGCGTTTCAAAGATGATTAGCCATTAATCTTGGGCTTTGGGTTGGGTTCTGTGGCCCAAAAATAACATAAAAGAACATTGCATGGTCTCAGATAGTTGCCACCCTGAAAACTCATTAGGAGAATTATAAAACCAGAAACTTGATAGTTTTGTTTTTGGCGTTGTACCACATGCATTATATTAGTATTTGTTGACCAAAAACATATATGAACATCGTAGTATTAATATACCTACCATTCTTTTAAACGCTTCTTATATATTTTCAAGGGGAATAACTCATTATTTTAAAAAATTCAGTGCAATTGAAACATTTAATCACTTGCATATTTTTAAAAATCATTTGCCCAGATATTCTTTTCTCATATTTGCTTACACGCAAGTCCTCACAATCATTTCCATTATCTTAAACAGAATACTCACCAGCTGGTTTGATTTTTCAATCCCTGTGACGACTTAACTTTGAAATCCTTGAACCTTGATTGTAATTTTTGATCACGCACATATAACAAGTATTACAAATTATTTAACAGAATAAAGACCATACTTTCTATTCTAAAGTGTCTAACCTATGATTTATTGTTATTCTTGTTTAAGAAATTTTTATGATTGTAAGAAGAAAAAGGTAATTTTAAAAAAATTACTTAAATAAGAAGACAATAAACAATTAGGAGAACCCAGTCTTCTTTTGGTATCAATTCATATTCAGCTATAGCTTGGGGCAGTTGTGGAGCTGCCATTGTAAGCCAATGCCATATCATGTTTCTCCATCTCATGAACTTGTTGTGTCCTGTATTTGTACCTATGTGCTGAATACAAGAAGATGGCAAAATTGAGCAAGCTCAAAGCAGTGAGAAGCCAGTAAAAATAATCAAACCTTCCAGTGTTGATGTTTTGGGACAACCAAGATTGTTTGGCTTGATCTGGGTTCCCAGTGGCAGATTTGATGATACTATTTAAAATAGTGGCCACAAAACAACCTAAGCCACCAGCAAGAGCAGCATAAGCAGACCCTATGCTCTTCATGGCATCAGGGGCTTCCTCATAAAGGAACTCCAACAAGCCCACAATGCAAAACACTTCAGCTACACCAATGAGACAGTACTGAATCAAAAGCCAATAAGCACTCAAGTTTGGCATTGGTGTGAGGAAAGTAGCCTCATATTCATGACTTATTGCATAGTTTCTTCTGTACCTTTCAAAGATTGCAGCCCAAGCAACAGATAGAATAGAAACTGCTAACCCAATTCCCACCCTTTGAAGTTGAGATGCACCATGAGGATGACCCGTGATGCGTCTGAAGAGAGGAACAAAGAGGGAGTAGTAGAGAGAGAGTATGAGGAAAACACTTAGGCCTGGGAACACAGGCATGCATGTAACTGGGAGTTTCAAATGACCCAAATGTGTGTTCAGAGTGTATGCTTGCTGGACTGAGAGAGTGAGGAACTCTGTTAAGATCACATTGAGCATGATTGTGCAAGCTGGTACGGGTATGAGTTTCAAAAGGATCTTCACTTCCTCTACTTGAGTCACTGTACAGAGTCTCCATGGACTTGGATTTGCTCCATCTTCTTTTAGTTGCAGTGCTGCCTTGTCAAGAAACCTTTTCCAAAAATACATAAAAACCATCAATTGGATATCTCACAAATGGGAAGAGATTCAACTGCGATAGCTGCAGATAATTCAGACTCATTAAGGTTTAGAAAATGTTTAATTGACATTTTTTTTCGGCACTCTTGTTAGAGAATATCACATTAACATAGAAGAAGGAAAAAGGAAAACTGAAAATGTTGTAGAATAATGAAGTGTTAATGTCAGTGTAAGAAAATAATTTATACAAAAATATGAAAGTTGAGAAAAGAGCAAATGCCACACACTTGGCTAGTATTAAGTATCTTGAATGGACTGCTTTTTTTTTTTTATACTGATAAAGTTGGGCAGGAAGGTTAGACTAGAAAAGTCATTCATGGCCAAGTTAATTGCATTCAAAACAATTAAGGTGATTTAATATCAAATTTACTATAGACTGTGCTTTGTTTGGTTAGAAAAAAAAGAAGAGAAACACAGATAACGTGGATTTTTATTTATTTGATTGAATGAAAAATATAAAAATTAAGGCATGAACATAGAACCAAGTGAAAATGAGCAATGACCTGAAATCATGAGTGTGAGGAATTTTTCGACTGCCCTTGATAGCAGACTGTCTACCAGGAACCTCGTACAAACCTACGAAATCACTGCTTTGAAAAGGGACATTTCTCTTTCGAAATGCAGCAACCAACACTTGAGCAACTCGAGTAAGTGGGCTACCACCTGGTAACCTATGCCTATACAATGGAGTCCCTATGAAGAACACCATATTTGATAAACCCATTGCAATTGCTAGGGACCCAAATGCTGATCCCCACCCATATTTCATTTGCACGTATACCACTGCTGTGAATGCCACAATTGCCCCTATTGTCACTGACAGATAGAAGAAGTTGAAGAATCTATCAAGGTGTGCTTTGTAGTTTTTGCTTCTCTCATCAAATTGGTCTGCTCCAAAAGATGACACGCATGGCCTTATTCCTGCAGCTCCAAACGCTGTTATGTATAGAACTGTATACAGATATGTCATCTGCCACGGTTTTGCTTCTTCACAGTGCCCCAAAAGCAGAGATAGTTGGTCACACTCTTGTTGGTTTGGTACAAAAGTGCTTATTGTTGCACATAATGTTATTCCTGTTAAACCCTGTTCATTTCGAATCAATTTATGCATCTCTTCCCATCAATACAATAGGCATAATATAAGTAGTCTAATCTTTTTCTAACAACAAGAGAGAAAATTGAAAAATGTTAAATAAAATAAGTAATATAAACAGTAGCTTTTATTATCTAGACGTATAAGTTGTTCTCGTTTTGAAAGGGATTTTGTTTTTACTAAAACAAAAATTTTCTGCTTTGACTAAACTTGCATAAGTATAATTAACAACAAAAATAATGAATGAAACAAAATAAAATAATATTCAATCTTATTTTAAATATAAAACATAATATTGGTGTTATTATGATTATATTAAATTCTAATCCATTTCATTAAGTACAAGTTTGCAACTTGTAATGTTTTGACACAGAACTGAAAAGACTATAAGCATACCACAAGATAGATTGTAGTGAAGATAGCAATTGTCCAGTAGCGTCCAAGATATGCATCAGCTAGAAATCCACCGAGCACAGAGGAAGCTTGAGATATCCCTAAGAAATTGTTGACTGCGTTGGATGAACTTGTAAAGGGTCTATGCATCACATAAAACATAAATGCCACCATGTTAACCGAAAGCCCAAAATATGCCATTCTTTCTGCCATCTCATTTCCTGCAACAACACAACCATAAATCGTTCATAATAATCATTTGTTTATAAAATGTTCTGTTGAAAGTATTCATACTCAACATGCATCATTGCGTCAAAAGATTCATGCATTGTTCTGTTTTTCTTACTGTTAAATGACCTGTTACCCCACCAGAAACATATTAATCAAGATTTTCAATCCCCTGAAATTAAATGCGTGTCTAAGTAAAACTTCATAATCTAAATCCATTTATAACGTGTTTGATTCTTTAATCTTCATTCATTTTTATCTCTAAAAACTGAGTTTTCATATTTAAAAATAATAAATTTAACTAAAAATTATCTAACATATTAAAAATATAATAAATGTTTTATTTCTTAATAAAAAATATTATTATTATTACTACTTAAATTTCACGTCGATAAAAAAAGTTACTTTTGGTCTAGGATTGTGCAAACATGCAAAAGTCAATTACGCTTTCACCCTTGTAATGGTAACATGCATGTAAACATGCCAAGGAAATTGCAGACATATTCTGGTGGAAACTTTGGCATTTTAATCTTCTAAAGTGATTTTACTTTATCTTATCAATGAACTCACTTTCAAAATAAATTATCTGAAACTCAAATCAATCTTCACCAAAATTAATTATAGTTAAACCAATAAATTAAGGCAACATTAAAACAAAATGGTCAAATATGGCAAAACGGGAAAGGGAATGGAAATACAAAGATACAGTAAAAGTGAGTATGGAATACCAAATATAAAGAATGCAGCAATCCAACCACCAGTCTTAGAAAGATCAACAATGGATTTGCCATGGATATCAACTGGTGTAGATCCTGCTGTGTACCCACGTCCTAAGGCCATTCTTCTATCCTCAGACTCGATGAAGTAAATCCCAAGCTTCTTTCTATTCATTGGTGTCCCTTGCAAGGGACCTTCTGGTGACTTTATCTCTGAGCTATCCATATATTCTAGTTCACTCTTAACACAAAACACACACAACACCTCAATTTTCAGATTCAAAACATGTAAGGGGGGGGGGGGGGTGTCATGGATCCACCTCAATTTGCATTGTGAAATATGGAGATCAAAGGCACCAACTTGTACTTGAGACACTTGTCTACTACTTATGGATATGGGATAAGAACCAAATTAATTGCGACTATATTGTTTAGACCCTATACTCCCCTAAGTGCAACTATTTGTCAGAGTGTGATAGATACTAGTAAATGGAAGCGAGTGACTTTTTGACTGTGAATGAATATAAGGTTGTAGTGTATAGTGTAGAGTATTAAAAGGAGGCTCAACTAACACGTGAAGACCAACCAGGATGAATAAATAAGACTACAACATAAATGGAAGCCATTGAAGACACAGCATTTATGGTTACCTGCTGTGGAGGCTGGCGCAATTGCTGACATTGAATTTTAACTCAATCCTACTATTTCTCCCTCAACCCATTTGCTTATGTACTTTGTTTGGGTCGGTTCAGCATGAAAATATGGGTACACTTAAATTTCCATTCCCATTGGGAGGTTGGACGTTTGGTGGTTGGTGCTTGAATTTTTGTGCCTCTTTTTAAATTCTTTTGTTTCAATGTGGGCACTTTTAAAATTTGATTTTTTTTTCTAATACGTGATCATGAGTATATTTTATTATATATCTTAAATTAAAGTTTTGAGATAACAAATATTTATTTTTTAAAATAATTTGTTATTGAAAATGTTCTAACGTGTTTTTTAGACACGTTAAAAAAATATTTAAAGTGAGCTGAAAATTTATAATTTATAATTTATAATTAATTGATTGAATTAGAACTATTTGATAAAAATAGGTGAAATGTGTTAAATGTTAAAAAAATAAGTGTTAATGTTACTTTGTGTAAAGCTAAATTATTTAAAAATTAAATAAAAAAATAAAAAAATATTTAAAAGCCTCTTGTAAATTAAATATTAATTGAAGTAATTTTTCGTAAATAAAATTTTAAAAATTATGTATATTTTTTTTATAAAACAACACTAGACAACACTTCTAACTTGCTGAAAAAAAAATTATAAACCCTTACATTATATAGCTTATGTCACCAAAACTTTTCCACATGTTTCATACAAAATTTAACCTTGACAGTGTTAAATTATACTCTCAATGAAGAAAAATAATTATTAAAAATTATTAATACACTTCTATTATTTTTTTAACATGTTTTTACTGTAATTTCTAATGATTTATTTTTATTTTTTTATGAGTATTTATTAATATAATTCTTTAACCTTTTAAGTATCTCATTTACATGATAAATGATGTTTCTCTTTATAAATGTTAAATACTATACCCCACTTATTTAGTATTTATTGAGAGATGGCCACAATTTTCAAGATGTCGTTGCCATGTTTAAATTTGACATAACATTCTTTTCCTACCAATTGGATAATTCCAAAAGAATACATTTTCTCATATTTAAATTTTACATGAAAAAATTATATGCAGCGACCATCTCTCTTGATAAATATTAAACAAGTAAAATTTTATATAAATAATGAGAGATAAATGCATAATTTACAAATACTTGTCATATCACACCAGATAATCCTTTCCAGATGTTAACATATGTTACTTGCAGTACTATTGTGAGCATAAATTTATGCAATTGTAGTTCCACTGCATCTAAGATAAAAATAAAGACTTCATATACTTGATCATAAATAAAAGAGACTTCATATGGAAAACATGAAAAACTGTGAAGGTTTTTCTAAACAAAATTGCATAAATTTTGTAGGACCTTGCGAACCTAAAATGGGAGTAAAATTTATAGGGAGATTAAACTAAAAGTGACGTGATGGACACAACCAATAGTATCATAACAGCACATTAAAGTTTTTACAAAAATAAAACAATTTTAGTTTTAACTTTTGGATACGGTAAAGAAAGTTTATAATTAAAAAAAAATAAGTAAGTAGAACCATTTAATAATCATAAAACAGAAAAAATTTATAACTTTAAAAAGTTAGCTTCTAAAAAAGATTGTTGAATTATTAATATTATCTTTTATAATTAGTCCAATAATCATGTTACTCTAGCGTATTTCAAAATTTTATTAATATTCATGATGTTCTGGTGTATTTCAAAATTTTTGAATTTGGGCCTGTTCTTTAAGGCAAGTGTCTTTGCATGCCTTTTTAAGTACCCGCTGAGGCTTGTTGCGAAATTACATTGAACGACGGATATAGCTTTTCTATTGTCCAATAGCTGTATATACCATAAGAATTACGGTAACGAACGTTTAAAACAATTTTCTACGCAATATAAAGCAACACCGAGTTTTGCACGCACACTTTTAAACTGATTATACAATTATTCTTAAAAGCCCTTGTGTCGCTTGTTCTCTAAAATTAGTCGCAACTAGTTCTGGGGAAAAATTTAAAGAATAATGGTTCGAGAAACTTGATTCGTTATGCTTACAACGCTCTTTTGGAGAGAACTGAATTATTTTAGTGAATCTTATCTAATCCATTAAATGTTGCTTCTATTTGGGCACGCCACTCGCTTCAGGAAACAAGGAACATCCCGCAATTCCTCTATGAAGACACAACCGAAACACAACCACAATTGGAGTTATATGCAATTGACAGAACGAAACACGGTTAACATCTATATGTTACATTCCCAACTCCGAATTTTCCATAACCTTGTCCTTTTGGCTGTGTTTAGAGTCTACAGTCTAAAACTTTCATCTTCCTAATGACTTCATAGGATAAGGGAAGGGACCTGTTGAACAGACGCTATCCTCAATTTATTAGCTAAACATACATTTGTTGCGTATCGATAATAAAACAAACACAACAGAACAAACTGTAGTGCTGACGAACTTAAAACATAAATAACATCACAAACACAACCGAACAGAACCGCTCTGCCACTGTATACAGGGAAAGAAATAAAGCGCTTTACGAGGAGCGGGCAATTTCCAATTCATACTGTATCACTGTCGCCTAAATGATTCCAAGAAGCACATTTACAGTAGCACACAACGCACAGCCACTGCCTTTTATTAATCCATAAACGGCGTCATACATAACATTACTAATCATAACGATCACACTTCAGTGGCTGACCAACTTAAGAGAGTTTGCCTTCTCTTGCAGGGAATCCAGGAGGCTGTCAAAACTTTTCTTAAACGATTCCACTCCTTCAATTTCAAGCTGAGAACCCACAAAACCCCAGTCAACACCTAATTTCTGGAGAGCATTGTATATTCCTTCAGCTTCCGATTCATTTGAGTCTATTGTCCTGGATACGGTACCATGATTAATAAATGCTTGAAGGGCTTGGTCTGGCATGGTGGATACCTGGGAAATAAGAAGGTAATGCTATCAGACGACAAAGATAAGTTGAAGATTACTCAACTTTGATTTCCAAGTTTGTAGACACAATCATCGCCAAACAAATTCATTAAAACCAATACTATTTGCTTCAGATAAATTCCAAAATAACTATAAGCAGATGATGGAAGTGAAAAATATGATGGCTTACAGTGTCAGGTCCAATAAGAGGAGCAACATATAATGTGTCAGGATAGGCAGGGTTCTTGACGCTGGTCGAGGCCCAGAGGAGCCTTTGCTTCTTGGCCCCTTTTTTAACTAGAGCTTCCCACCTTGGACCAGAGAATTTCCTTTGGTAGAGCTGGTAAGCCAGGGCTGCTTGTGCTACTGCTGCCTACAAAATTTGATGTACCATGAAAATTGAGTATAATTGATATCCAGAGGTGTAGTAAATCCAAAGGCAAGTGTTGGCAATTTTGAAAATGAACAGTTACCTTCCCACGTAGATTAAGGGCCTCGGGGGTGCCAGTTTTCTCGAGGATCTTGTCAATGAGAGTGTCCACTCGACTGACAAAGAAAGAGGCAACACTTGTAACTCTAGAGAGGTCACTTAACCCAGATGCCTCAAGACCATCCAAGTAAGCATCAATTACAGCTTCATATCTTGCAAGAGAGAATATCAGCTGTGTAAACAAATACCAGAAACAAATTTAGTTTCCATCCATGCAGAAAAAAAGATCAAGTCAGATGACAGCTGGAGACTATGAGATTTTTAACTTTCTTCAAGAAACTACCTCACTTCTAACCACAATGAGCTTAAAATAAATGTATATAAGATTACTTACTGTGTAAACAATTAAGTATTGTTGTAATGACAATATCTATAAGATTACTTACCAAGTAGTTAATAGCATACTATAACAATATATAATACTAAATTAATAATTTACTTAATTTGCAGACTATATGACGGAATGTAGCACAAACTTACAGTCACATTCACACTTATCCCGTTAGCAATAACTTCCTTAATTGAAGGGACACATGCAGCAGTAGCTGGAATCTTAATATACACATTGGGGCGATCAACCACTTTGTGAAGCCATTTTGCAGCTTCTATGGTTCCCTCAGTGTCATCAGCTAGCCTAGGAGATACTTCAACAGAAACATAGCCATCACCTCCATCTGTTTGATCATAGATTGGTTCAAATAGTTTGCAAGCATCTTGAATATCCTTCACTACAAGTTCCCAATACGCACTTTCAATGTCTGTCCCTGCTTGCACAAGTTCCCTGCATGATAGAGTAATTTGTTTATACCTATAGAGAATGAAAGGAAATTGCTAGAGCAATAGTGCAATTTAAGACGAAGATGACAATTACTAACATATCCATAATACCAAAGGACATTATTTTCTTGTTCTCTTTTAAGTATCTTTCTTCTTGTAATAACAGTATCCATTAAATTCGCAACAATATAAGACCTGAAGCAAACACAGAAGTATACTTAAGGGATTGAAATGCTTCCCTTCCTATGAAAAAGAGGAATTAAGGAGTATCTCGTTAATGCAGTTTACTAATTAAACATATCATATGAACAGAATAACAAATCTACAACTAAAATAAGTCAATGTTTTCTTTCAGTTTATTGTTTAGAAATAAGCATAATATCTCTTCAGCTTCATGAATGAATTGCGAAAAAAGAAAGTTATTCTTTCCCCTGGGAAAAGCTATACCAAACATGATCTATTACAGTGAGCACACACAGTATGACAAGCATGTTCAAGGGTGCAAGAATAAACTTCAGAATTAACAAAAGATGTTGATGGTACCTGAACTGATCATTGTAAGCATTCGAGGAGGAGATAGCTTTCTGAAAGATCTGCAATCACATGTACAGCAATGGATTAGAGCAGTAACATCCAATTATTAAACAAAGCAAGATGTTACAACTCACAAGGGTTTAGACCGTTAACCATTATTGATTTCTCCATTATTATTGTTAGGAAAAATATTTACCCACATGGAGAACAATACCCAAAGAAAAAGATCATCATTACCGCAGGGTTGCTAGTGACACCCCTAACACCACTTGCTATAAGAGGAAGCAGATCCGTGACCGGTCGGCAGAGATTATCATACCATGGACTCTGCCCTTCTTTCTCATAAAGATCATGAAGCACTGTCCTCTTTGCGGTGCTTCCATTCCCATCTGTTTGGGAGCATCTAATCCTGCATCAATACAATCAATCATCAAATATTTCCAACCTGTAAGAGCTGTTTAAGAAACAAAACAAATCCTTCAAAATACTAGCCACTAAGAAGATTAGTTGGTTTCAAACTGTTAGTCACTAAAGAAAATCAATAATGCATTAATCACTTTATTTCAAAAAATTTTCTGTCACTCGATATCTCAGCTAAATGCAATGAGAGATCAAGCATTAGTATAGTGAAATGATGTTCCTTTTATTCTTTGCACAAATTACTTATGAAACGCGGGAAGGAAGTATTCATCAATCAATAACAAGAATTCTGTTGCCACAATAAACTATCACGTTTATATATAAATTTTAATTATAAATATATAAGCATAAAATAAATTATATCCCCAGCCTTATAAATGTTAACAGGCACAAGGTATACTAATGCAAAGTATCGAAATTAAAATTTGTTTTAGTACAAAAAAATAAAATAAAATAAACAACGTAAATAAAATAAACGGCAAAATGCATTTAATTTTCTTGTTTCGCAAAAATTAACTCTTAGCAGTAATCAAAATTTGTATTTTCATTTTATTTTCGGCCACCGACTTTCCACTACTAAAGTCACATCATACCAAACGCGCCCTGACAAGACACTTCGATGGTAAAGACGACGATCGCAGTTCTTTCGAGCTCAAATCACGATCTGGAAAAAGATGCAAGGAAGAGCTAAGAGAGAGAACTTACCGCAAAGAGGTTTTAGAATGGTGTGGGTGAAGCGTTGGGAGGGACGATGCAGAGAGGTTAGTTTTGAAATTGGCGTTGAAAGGTTGGAAGGAGAGGAAGCACTTTGGAGAAGATCTGTGGCGAAGGGATTCTGATAAGGAAAGAGTTGGATTTGGCGTTGAGAGTTTGGAAACGGAGGCCATTGGGAATTGCAAGTCACAAAGCAAGCGATGGCTTCGGGTGTGACTTTGATTCCATTTATATATAAATAAATTATTATAATAAGATCAGATATGAAAATGAAGTTGGTAGAGGGAAAGTTGGTGTACCTTTTGGATTGACCCAAAAGCCAGTTGCAGGGCAACAAAATAATAGGTGTCATAGGGGTAATTTAGGAATCTCACCATCGTTTCGTCGCCTAGCCGCCATCTGCTCTACGCTATCATTTTGTTTTCTTATTTAGATTAGATATATTACATTCAGTAATTCACGGATTATATATATATATATATATATATATATTATTTTTTTTCTTTTTTTTTAAATTATGAAAATATGAAATTCAAAAATTGTTAACATTGATGTAAGTGTAGATTGAATATTGAAATTTTATGAAGTTTCAACAATTGTTAATGACAACTTTTTTAAATATTTTTTAAAAAAATTATCAATGATAATTTTTAAAAATAAAAAAATTAAGATATCAAAAAAATATCACTGAGTATTTTTAGTGATTTTAAAAAGTTTTTATATTTTTATAAACTTTTTCAAAACATTATGTCTGATTTTTTTTTATTTTTTTTCTATATAAAAAAAGAGCTAATAATTTACATCAAATTTAAATTAGGCTATTTATGAAATAAATTAAGATTTATTTATTTTGAAGTCGGTTTTTTTAAAAATTAATTTAAAAATAAATAAAAGAGTTTGTTGTCCTAATCAACTTATAAGGATTATTTTACATTAACCAGTCAAGTTTTAATTTAAATAAATATAATTATATTAAATACTCTAATAATCTTTATACTATAATACATCATAATTTCAGCTTAAATCTTAATAAATATAATTATATTAAATACGGAAATGAGCTCTGCAACTGATATTGGGTGTTAAAATATAAGTGAGCTAAGTTAAGAGAATTAAATAAATTTGAAAAAATGACTAGTTAAATTGTGGTCTGGAATTGGAATAATCTAATAAATATTGGAGGAAGCATGCATCACTCCCATCCCAGTTCAGTTATGGCATCGATTTTGTCCTTATCCGTTTGTTATACTTATCTTGCTATCCCTAAATCTCAATCTCTGGTACGCATTTTCTCCATTCATTTTTTTTATTTCTAAGTAACTCGAATATTCAGCAACCATAACCATAACCATTACCATTGCCATTCATTCATTTCAGCAACTCCATAATTTCTCCGATGCTTCCTTCTCCGGTGAGTCACTACTTTTCTGTTCTCACATTCACACTCCTTCATTCTCTTTCTTACTTCTCTCTCTTTGCTAGCAACCAAACCCAACGCCAGGAGTCGAATTTGTTGTTGCGCGCCATCGTTCCAGCGAAGAAACGTGCTTCTCTCTTCCATCGCAACCGTTGCCGGAACTTTCTGCGCCAATTCCGACACCAGAATCGCTCTCGCAGCTGAATTTGCCGATAGTATTTCTCTATTTGATTCAATTAACGCCCGAATTTGCGTTTTATGAATAATATGCATTGTGTCTTTACTCGTTGCATCATCTGTTGCATGTTATGTTTGTGTTACGATAAACACGATACTGTTGTGTGCTGTTGAATCGCGTATTCATGAAGAGAGTGTACATTAAGAGAAAGCATAGCCACAGAGTTGCAATACAATGTGATGCGTAATTTGTGAAAACAGTGCCAGCGCTTAGAGGGAAGGATTATGGCAAGACAAAAATGCGGTACCCGGACTACACAGAAACTGAATCGGGACTTCAATATAAGGTGATGTAGTGCGTTGTAAATATTTTATCGTTAACCATGCTTTCCATTATTATAATTACTATTACTATTATTTTTTAATTTTAATTAATTTATATTTATCAAGAATGCAGGACTTGCGACCGGGGAATGGCCCCAAGCCAAACATAGGGGAGACAGTAGTGGTAATGCACTGAATTTTTTATTTTATTTTTTGGTTATCATTGTTATTGTTAATGTTATTTTATGGATTGGTTAGAAATTAGAAATCTGATCTAGTTCTAGCCAGTTATTTTTGGATATAAAGGTTCTGAATCAAAATGAAAACATTCTCAGGCTCATTTTTTCTATGGCGCTCGGGAGTTTAGATACCAAATTTTCTTGCTTCACTGGAATGGTTTTTTTGGTATGAGATAACTTTTTGAACAGATTCGACAATTTTAGTGAAGAAAATTACAGTCGCCTGTGTTTCTCCAAGTGGACTCTCTCTGAACCAAGATCCCCTACTGTTTGTCTTTAAAGTGCACAAATCTGAACTTTTTTTACGAGTTTACTAAATTGGATAGAAACAGAGTTAAATAGTTTTGAATGATGAGATCTGCAACTGCACACCATGCAGTTATTTTTACAACTTACGGGCTTCAATTTCCATTCAGGTAGATTGGGATGGCTACACCATAGGTTATTATGGTCGGATATTTGAAGCCCGGAATAAAACCAAAGGTGGTTCGTTTGAGGTACGAAATACTTTGCATCTTCTAAATGGACACTGGAGGTGATTGATTTTAGTTACACACCTGTTGCGCTGTTTTTCTGACATGCAGGGTGATGACAAGGACTTTTTCAAATTCAAAATAGGATCTAATGAGGTGAGAGACGTCATCTTTTAATGATTAAACTAGTTCCTTGCAACTCAAATAGGATCTTTGTTGTGAATACTGTTTCATGAGCCATGTTTACATTGTTTGCCGCAATGTGTGGACCAAGTAATGCAGAACGCGCTAGGGTCATAATTGTTTCGGCTTACTAGGATCAGAATGCTATTTCTTTTGTAAAATAACTTTATATTTTGTCTTTATTTTCAGTAATCTTGTATTTCCACCATCGGAAAAGAGGTTTTAGGATTTTCTCCCTTGGTAACTGCTGGCATATAGAAGAAGGAACAATTGTGGTGCATGTTCTTGTGCAAATAAGTGTTAGTACTAGTCCCTTGTGTTTCCGTTTCTTTTTTATACTCTTTTATGCATGTTCTGGTCTTGGTTGACATCTTATGTGACGGAATGATTTGCTCCCTTCCACTCCAATAACAAAATTATGAGTGATACCCTTTCTTTGGGAAAGACCACTAAGTATTCCTATGCCCTTGTGTTGCATGTATTTGTGTACTTGTTTTCAACTAAATCCATCACAACTGTTAATTCACTAAAATTAGCCCACTTCCATATTAAAGCCAACATATCCTTGGTTGGAACTATAAGTCCTTGTTTGCCATGAAATACTTCTTAGTTATGTCCCCTTCGTCATGCTTCTTGACAAAATGCTCCTCTGTGAAGTAGCCAAGGGACATTACTGTTGGATGTTGGGAATACATTAAGCATCAAATGTGCCTTATTTTCTCACTTTCTTGAGGACTGATCTTTTATGTACTTTGAAATTTGAATGCTCAGGTCATACCAGCTTTTGAAGAGGCTGTATCAGGCATGGCACTTGGAGGCATTAGAAGGTGCTGCATCTATTTTTCTAGAAATATTTGACTCATACTAGAGTTGTGTTATAAAACTAGGTTTTTTGTGCCGTTACCGTGGCTGAACTTTCTTTTGTTTTGTGAAAAAATAGTGTTTTGAGTAACATGTAATTGGAAAATAGTACCATGCATATTGGAAGTCCATGAAACACAACATTATTTTCTTGAACTGCAACTTCTATCAGTTCTAACTCTGGATTTGGGGGACTTAACATTCTGACTTTCCCAAGTTAAAATTGTGAATCACTGGGAATTTTTTGTTCAAAATTATCTGTTTAACTCTTTTTATTCTTAAAAAAAATCTGAGTATGTAAAAAATTTAGGCAAATGTATTTCGGATTCATATACTGTGAAAAGAGACATATAGTGAGAGAAATGCAAATTTCACTATGTTTGTCAGTGATGCAGGATAATTGTGCCCCCAGAACTTGGGTATCCTGAGAATGATTTCAATAAGAGTGGTCCAAGACCCACAACATTCTCGGTAAGAATTGAATGTTTGTTCAGCCACTATCTGAGTGTATTATGATGAATATACAATAAAATATATTTTACAGGGCCAACGAGCCTTGGATTTTGTGCTAAGGAACCAAGGGTTGATAGACAAGACTCTCTTGTTTGATATTGAGTTGTTAAAGATTATTCCGAACTGATTTATTGAATTCTGCATTGACCCTCAAGTATCTCCATCAAAACATTGAGGTTAGTTTCTCTGTCGTTATGTATCTGTATTTTTATTAGTGTATGTTGAGCTCTGTAAAACTGAGAGAATTGTAAGAGCAGGAAACCAATGAACTGATGAAAAAGACTTTATTGATGTTGAACGGTTACTGAAGTCTCTTGGGTAGGCTTAGAATACTCCTCTCGGCCAAAATACTCCTTTGCCTTGGTTTTAGATACTCTCTAAAAGAAATGAAATATAAATAATCAATTTGGCAAACTGTCTCAAAAACACGGGGCACATAAAGGATAAAATTCCTAGGTGCTAAAAATCCTAGATGATGGTAATATAAAATCCCTAAGACTAATTAAAGATCTCTTGAATCGGAATAAACTCTAAAATTTTGAAGAATAACATAGTAATACTTAAGTAACACAATAATCCTTAAATATGTTTCTCTATTTCTCAATTGTTCTGTTCAAACTATCATGTTCAAGTTCTTAATTTGTTTTGGAATTCAAAATACATGAAAACATAGCAGAAGAAATGAGGTTATAAAAATGATTGAATGTAACATTGAGCCCTCATCCTTGAGAGAGGCCTACCACAAAACCCAGAACCTCACTTCAGAATTTTCTCTCCCCTTTTTCCCTCCTACATTGCCTTTTGAAAGCTTTCACCCTTCCATTCTGTATTTTCGTCTTTTCTTCCTCCTTCCCCCAACTCAGCAGCACTATTTTATTTTTTTATCAGCAGTAGTACCATATAGCCCAATTGGTAGCAATTAATTATTTGTCGGATGATCATCTGTCTTGAAATCAGTTTGTTGAATAATAATCTGAAAGATGTGACGTATATTGTATAACCCGCAAGAGCTACAGTTGATTTAATTTTTTCGTGCTTTCTCATTACTTTCAAGAACTTGGTGTTTTGGTTGTAGGACCACTATTTACAGAGGCTATGAGAATGCATGCAGACAATTGTCCAATCTTATGGACATTTCGTTAACATCTAAATTTGATGCTTGTGTCAATTGGCTTGGGAATGTATGCTACGAGTTGTATTATATGTGTATATTGTAGCTCTTCTTGGTTTCTCTGGTGACAATCACGTGCACCAGAAATTCTCCCTCAGCTGTTGCAAACTTGGATTTACTGTATGTACATGGGATAATAAAACATCATATAATTTATTAAAAATTAGTAATCTTTAGCAGAAAAGGATTGTGTGATTGCAACGTAACAGCTGTTGTGAACTTGATAGCTGTTTTTTTGCAGATAGAACGTTACAATCGCAACTTTCGTTCAGCCTTAGATCATTTTCCCGTGTCTACTTCAATACTTTCAAAAGCAGCAAGAATCGCCGTAATATGAGAACTGAACACTAAGTGAAAGTTGGCGATTTTCCAAGTACACACGGATACCAAGTTAAGAACAGTGCTTAATCACGTAATCAACCTTGTACTTACGGTGCTGCAACATTCTGCATAAGTAACTTTATTTCTCCCATTTTTCTTCTCTGATTTAGATATTTCATAAAATAAGTAAGTAAATAAATAAAGACTTGTCGATCTTTGGGTCCGATTAATTAACAGAATAATTCATAAGTAGCATGAATTTTGCTCACAGCCACGACCATGACTTCTCAATCAATCTAAGGAAATGGAAAAATCAACTCCAGTTCAAAAGAGTTCTCCAAACACGCTCGGGCTTTAAAAGAATTTCAATCAATGTAACAAATAAGACAAAATATTTACAACGATCTTTTTGAGAAGCTTCAATACACAAATTGTCTTTAAATCAATGTGACTGATCTCAAAACAGACCTAATTTCTTTAGTCTAGAGAGAAGTTTTGAACCTAAACGAAAACATTAAATTATAGGGTTGTTTCTTTGGTATAATTTTTGTTTATTAAAGATTAAATTATTTATATAAATGTATGACTTAATATTGATATAATGAAATATTTCATAAGAATATAAAATCTTGATAATAATTATGGAATTTGTGTGTTAACTAAATTGTCTGTATAGTAGTAAATTATTGTATAAATTTGTAATTTTTATATTAAAATTTAATTTTTGTTAGATAAAAATTATAATTTTTAGTGATAATTATGTTTGAACTCATGATCTTATACATACTACTGAACCCAAAGGCAGAGGACAGAGGCAGCAATGGGGAGCCTCTCATCAGCAGGAGGATACTACACCTAACCCACCGATACCAGAAGTTCTTGCTGAAAGGGGGGGACAAAAATCTCTTTTCTGTAGTGAAACAATTAAGGTCTGAAATGATAGAGATGCAGCAATTAAGAGAGAATGACGCTCTTGAACTGTTAGTCCTTAGGAGAAAGAATGCTAATTTGAGGGAAGAGATCATAACCTACATACCTTCTCAGAGTACCCCTTTCGTCTAGGAGCAAGGAGAGTCTTCGGCCTTGTAGGAAAAGCCAAAAATATGCCTGCAAACAAGAACTACTCCTTCCATTGAACGAGATGGAGCATCAGGTCGGAGCTCGTTCATTCAACTTATCTTGGAAGCTAAGTTATCAAAAAATTGGAAGGGCCTAACATTTGAAAAATACGACGGAACCTCTGACCTGGAAGAGCACCTGGATATTTTTACAACTCAGGTCAACTTGTGCATAGACAATGATGCCTTGTTATGCCGGATCTTTCCAACCTCACTTCGAGGACCAGCTCTCAACTGGTTTATCAAGTTACCCTCTTCATCCATCGCAATGTTTACCAGGCGATTCAAATTGCAATTTACTATAAGCTGTCCTCATCCATTGACGTCATTGGCATTAGTAAATATCTGTCAGGAGAAGAAAGAGACACTTAGAGCATTCACGGAATGTTTCGGCAAGGTGACCCTCTCAATTCATAATCTGGAGCCAGCAGTCGCAATGCATCACCTTACCACAGTTTTGAATCCAAGATCTTTCGTCAACAGTATATGCAAAAAACTACTTGTTGATCTAGAAGAATTAAGAAGTCGGGCAATGAAGTATATGTAGATAGAAGAATTGGCCGAATATCGAAGCCAAGTTCGAATGGAGCAAAGATCAAATCAAAGAGAGGGTGACAAGTGATGAATCCATATTTTACTAGTATTTTACAATAGTTTTTAGTGCAATTAATAAAGAAAACATGCTAGAAATAGTAGAAAATCCTTAAAAAAATAATAAAATGTTGCATGTCACTTTTAAACATAGTTATTTTAAAATTCATTGATATTCTATGTAAAAAGTGACATTTCAAGTATGCTTTTGTAGGGAATTATGAGTTAAGTTCATGAGGATTAGATGATCAAAGGAAAAATAGAAGAAAAGTAGCACAAATTGGGGAAAGAAGTTGATAATTGAAGAACAGCCTCTGAGTGATCACTTTCATGATCACTTTCGCTGGTGAAAGTGATCACTCCAGAACCATAAAATGGAGAAGAGCTTCTGCGTAATCACTTTTGCTGGCAAAAGTGATCGTTCCATAGAGGTTGCAATGAGAAGAGTGTCTGCGTAATCACTTTTTCTGGAAAAAGTGAGCGTTCCAGAGAGTCCTCCAAGAAGAGTAGCTGCGCGTGTTCACTATTACCAGCAAAAGTGAACACGCGCAAGAAAGCAGCTTCTGCGTGTTCACTATTTCCAGCAGAAGTGAACACGCGCATGACATTAGCAAAGGAAGCTTCTGCGTGCTACTATTTTCAACAAAAGTGAACACTTTGAAGTGCGCGTGGCTACTATCACCAGCAAAAGTGAACACGCGCAAGTGGAAATGAATAATTAGCCTCTGCGTGATTACTATTGCTGGAAAAAGTGATCACGCCAGCAGAGCGGGAATTCTATAAAAGGCAGTTAGCTCAGGAATTTTACAGTTTTTGTTCATTTTTTATTTTCCATTTGTTTTTGTTGTTGAGAGAGTCAGAGAGGGAGATTGAGGACGAACACCAAGCTTCATTTCTTGAGGGATCAGATTGGAGATTGGCTTGAAGATATTTCTTCTTTATTCATTCTCTTCTCCTCTTCTCTTCTCTTCTCTTTTTGTAATGTTTGCTTAAACTCTTTGTGGTTAGGAACTGTGAATCAGAAATGGAAATGTTGAATTGATTTTGGATCTGAACTTTGAGTTTTGGATTGGATTGAGTGATTGATTCTGCTGTTAAAGTAATGATTGAATAGAAATTTGATCAACTAATCATAGAGGAACTCTTATCAATGAGAATTGAATTTGTTTCTCAGATCTGAATTAATTGCCAAGGTTATTGGTTTCTTAGGGATAAGATATCTTAATCTTGCAATCTTTTGGTTTCTCAAACTTAATGCAACATTTGATTGGATTAGATCTAAGGGATTGGAGTGATTTGATTAGATGCTAGATTCATTGAGGCAAGGGATTGTCCTTTGATTAATACAACGTGAAACTGATTGTCATTCCATCTAAATGCTTGAAAGTTCAAAACTTTATTGATTCAATGTTGAAGTTTTGGTGAAACAATTTCCTAACTACTCTTTCTACATCTGTTTACTATATACTTTTGTACTAACTGTTCTGTTTTACTTTCTAATTTCGTTTTTGATACATTCATACCAATTCCATCTGAAATTTGTAAAGCTCAACTAATTGTGATCTTGTGAAGTGGTAATTGAGAACTTTATTCCCTGAGGACGATACTTGGAACTCAATTTGATTCTAAGATTTTTTATAACTTGCTACAACAACACTAGTACACTTGCTAGTCAGTTTACTTTCAGTGCAACAACAGTTGTAAAAAGTGTGACAAGTTTTTGGCGCCGTTGCCAGGGAATAATTTGTTTCAATATCATTAGTAGCAGAGAGATGGGTAGATTGAGCATTTCTTTTGTTGTTTTACTTTCTAATTTTTCTGAATAATTTTTTTCCTATATTTGTGTAGTTTTCTGCATAATTTCATTTTGCATTTTTCTGCATAGTTGTAATTTTCATTTTGCATAATTTTCTATATTTTCTACATGTTTTGTTTTGTAATTTTCTACATAATTTTAGATTTCATTTTGCTTAGTCACTAATTTCATTTGAATTTTGTTTACTTTCTTTTTGTATACAAGAAAAAAAAAGAGTTGCTCTATTGTTTGATGGCAACCAGCAAGTATCAGAATTTTCATCAAAGCCAAGTTGCAAGAACAAGAGCTTATGAAGCAGATGCTTTTGAAGCTTTAATTAATAATTTTCAAGCTGGAGTTGCCCAAACTAACCCCTTGGTGTGTGATTTTTACAGCAAAAATGATTTGAATGAAACTTATGATGTGGCTGCACTAGAATTTCAAGAAGAAATCAATTATGGAGGAAATTTTCAAAGACCTGAATTTACCTTTCCTCATGTATATCAATCTCAATCTAACATGAGTCAGCCATATTATGATTGGAATCAACAAATTTCTGCTGCAACAACACCTTTGTCAAGTCCTCATTGTTCACAACCTTATTTTCAAGCATCATATTCTCAACTTCAAAGAGGACAACAACCTTCAGAGGCTTCTCCAAAAAGAATGAATGAACTTGAAGAAACTTTGCTCCAATTCATGGAATTTACTCAATCAAGTTTCAAGAATCAAGAGGGATCCATGGAGAAGATAGAGATGCAAATAGGACAAATTTCAGAACATTTATTAAATAGGAATGATGAGAAATTGTTTAGCAACACCATTGTAAATCCTATAGAGCAATGCCAAGCTGCTTTCACAAGGAATGAGGTAGAAATTTCTACTCATGAAGTTACTGAGAAAGGGAAAGCATTAGATAAATTTGAAGAAAACAAGATTCAAGATAAACAACAAGAGGATTGCAAAGGAGTGCAGTTAACTATTTTAAAGAAAGAAGAACCACAGGATAGCAGCAAGACACAACCTGAAAGAACCAAAAAGCGGTTGTTTGAAGATGCATCTAAGCCAATAGCTGAAGCTAAACACAAAAAGTTTCAATTTTTTCAAGCAGTGCAGAATTTCAAGCAGGAAAAACAGAAGGATGATTCTGTTATAAAAGAAGTCCTTGCTGTAGTGACATATGAAGACAATGAAAAGGAAGGAAAGAAACTTAATGAGCATACCAAACTGTTGGAAGTCCCTCCACTTTTATTTCTCTCAAGTTTTGAATTAAATGAAGAGTTGCAAGTTGGTGAGAAAAAGGGAAAACATTTAAAGATAGAACAAGAGCCCTTATCATCAAAATCATCTCTTAG